AGGGCTATTTCTGAGATATGGGAAATGTAAAAATGGAGCAAGACCAAGGGCCGTGCCGATTGAGGCGAGGGCCCAGCGAGGGGAGTGAAGTGACGGATTCATTCAGTCGAAGTCGCGTTGAAAGACGGCGGCGGACATGCGGCGTCCAGTTGCGAAGGGGCTAGGTTGGGCGGATTCCATATGCGATTGGTGGTTTTTCTTCTTAGTTGGGGGCAGCAGGTTCGGTTGCCTTGGCCGAACCTTAACCATTGGCTCCTGCTCGTTGATACAGCCCCCTCATCAGGCTCTGGCTGTAAACGGGAGTGAATGTGGCGGGCAGAGTTAATGTACTTCCAAATTTTATAGTCTTGTACAATCCCTGTCAACCTTGCCAACTGCTATGCAATCGCGCGACGATAAACTGTATTTCATTACCCTTCAAAAAAACCACAAGGGCTGAAATTGTGTAATGCTCGAACTGTACTGTACTTATTGGCATCGCAGCATAGTTGTTCGGCCTGAAGCAGCGGTTCGTCGAGCCCCTTGAGGCTTGGTTGTTGACAGCACAGCAATTCCTGATGTTTGAACGACGTGAACTCGGACCGTGCGGGTGATGCGATTCGCCACCTACCCGTCACCTTGTCATAGACTCGTGAATCCTGCGACGTCTTACGACGACTACGATCACTGACGACGACCTTTGCGGCCTGTTGATTTGCAGGCAGTTCTCCAGCAGGAACACGTCACTCAAAACATATTCGCCCCTATATTTATCTCGAATTCATCCCTCTTTCATTACTTTGTTAATTTTGGTTTGGGGTTATAAAAAGCAGCATACATGTTGCACAATCATGAAGTGATGCAATACATTTCTAAGCCACTATTAGCAGTTGGTGAGATGCACGCCAAGTATTCTTCAGCCAGAGACCTATACGGTACTCCCATCCATGCCATCAGTCAGAGGCCATTATCTAAATTTTGCGTAGCAATTGTTTTTCTGTATCATCCCATCCACCTCCCTCTCCAGGCCCATATAGCTGGTCACCACTGTCACCATAGCTCCAGCCAGTTGGGGGTAAATCCTCTCATACGCCTTGCCTTTCACCTCTTGCCCTTCACGAAAGTAGATGATATTCTGGCCACCAAAGTAGCTCTCCACTATGCTGCCTTCTCCCCGTACACTCACAAAACACGCGCTCCGCGCCAGCAGTCTGAATTGCACTTCATTGAAACTCAATTCTGGCATCTCTTCTGAAGGTCCTGCATGATCTGCAACCGTGGATTATTTCCAACCCGCTCCTGCAGCGCCTCGTAGTCTCCCAAGTCCTTTCTGTCTCGACTTGCCTGCCTGGGCGGCTGCAGTGACATTCCCGGGTGTTGTACACCACATAAAAACCAGCGTCTAAATACGCGGTGACGATTCCCATTAGAGTTGGTAAATCGATGAAATTCACCGGAGAACGGCCCCACTCTCGCTCATATTTATTCCCAATGACCACCAACCGGGATCCCTTGGGAATCTCCGGCCACACAGGGGGAAATTTTTCTGAAATGGTGGGCAAGAGGCGGCGGCTGCAGGCTGGCGGAATGCGACTGTAATGTATGCCTTGGCTAAAACCATATGCAGCGACATTGTTCTTCATGGCACTTCGACGACACGTGGCGTCATCTGTGTGGTTCGGGCTGAAGTAATAGAGTGAGGCCAAGGAATGCCGCCCGCAGGAGGTGGTGTAGCGGAGGGAGCCGCGGAGATGGTGCCAGTAGGCGAATGGGAGGACGGCGATTAACTCGTACCCGAACTCGCCCTGAAAAAATATATCCACCCACCCGTGCCATCCGTGCCATCCTGGTTTGGGAAGCAGGTTGTGGTTGAGTGGGGGGGTTGAGGGGCTGTGGTGGATGGCTTGCGTGGCTCTGATGCTCTGCTGATTCTTCTGCTACTGTTTCTGCCGTTCTAATGCTCTTGACGTTGTGGTTTCTACTGCTGCGGCTGTTTCAATCGCAATTGCTGCTGCATCACCTACTCTTCTTTTCCCCTCCACCCACCACCCCATCCACCAGCACCCCGCTCTCTCCCCCACCCTTCTCCATCCCTCCGCTTCCTCCAACCCAGCTCCCCCCATCTCCACCCCTCCGCTTCTGTACCACCACTGTATCGAAATACAGCCTCGTCCTTATTAATTGCGCATTTTCTCCCGGCAGTTCCCCCGCATGGCAGCCCCATATGCGCCAACGGGCGGCATGGGTGCTTCCGCCGTAGCCCAATCCTCTGCGGCGGAGGGGGACATGGCTATGCGGGAGTGCGTCAAGCGCGTAGGGGGAGTATCGACCACTGAATCTACCCCTTGAAGTGGGCGGCAAGTGGAGAAGACGGGGGGGTGACGATTGGGATGGTGAGGACGCCTTGAGGGGAAGGGAAGGAGGACTCCTGGGATATTTTCGGGACAACAACCTTCTGCTTTGGAAGCAGCAGCGAAGTGAAAAGGGGAAGGTAAAACACGTAGAGATATTAGGGATAGCAACAGCGGAGAGCGTTCAGGGGAAGCAACAGCGGAGAGGAATGGGGGGAAGCAACAGCAGGAAGGAGTGGGGGGAAGCAACAGAGGGGAGGAATGGGGGAAGCAACAGAGGAAAGGAATGGGGGAAGCAACAGCGGGAAGGAATGGGGGGAAGCAAAAGAGTGAAGGAATGGGGGGAAGCAACAGCGGGAAGGAGTGGGGGGAAGCAACAGAGGGGAGGAATGGGGGGAAGCAACAGAGGAAAGGAATGGGGGAAGCAACAGCGGGAAGGAATGGGGGAAGCAAAAGAGTGAAGGAATGGGGGGAAGCAACAGCGGGAAGGAATGGGGGGAAGCAACAGAGGGAAGGAATGGGGGGAAGCAACAGCGGGAAGGAATGGGGGGGGAAGCAACAGTGGGGAGGAATGGGGGGAAGCAACAGCGGAGAGGGATGAGGGTAAACAACAGCGGGGAGGGATCAAGGAAGCAAACCAATGGAGGTTTGTGTTCCGAGATTCGTTCTCCGATATTCGTGCTCAAAAATAGCGTTTTTCGCGAGCGCGTCACAGATGGGAGCAAGGCGGTTGCATGCGGGTCTGGCTTGGGAATGCATCACCGCCGCGTACTTCACACGCGGGTTTGGGCGACGTCGCGCGGCGGATGGTCCTCGCAGGCCAGCGGCGGGCCTGGCGCGGCTGGTGAGTGCGAACAGGGGGCGTGGCGCGGGGAGGACAGGACGGACACAGGGTGGGTGGGTGGAGAGACGAAGCGTGGTGCGCGGAAGGTTGAATGGGGAAAGGTATGTGTTAAAGAGGTAATAACACTCGATGAAGTAACGCAAGTGATAGGAATTTTTTTGTCTTATGTTCTGTCAGCGCAAAGGAGCGGAAAATGAGATCCCAAAGCAGTCTTCCATTGTGAAACGGAATGAAACGACAGTGATTTACGGGGAAGGCGGCGGCGAGAGAAGGACGGAGAAGAGGAAGGGCGTTACTACGTACCCGAGAAGAATACTAAAGCAAATAGAGAAGCAGCGACGACTACCAGCGTCAGCCACCAGAGCAACCGCTTCGCGCCTCCGCTGTGGCACGAGTTCTGGCTCGACATTAGCATCCCAGCAGCGCTTGGAGCAGCGCGGACCATAATTGGCCGTCCGATACATGCTAGGACTAGGAAATTTTAGTTGAAGTCACACGGACGATATGGAAAATGCAAAATGCAGCTTTGCGTCACGGAACGGTTGCGCGTCGTTGGAGCACAGCATTTCAGAAGTGTTGCCCGCACGAGGAGAGATGAGAGTCGAAGGGAGGTGTTTTGTACGTAGGAGGGACGGCAAGTTCTGACAATTCAGGCGAGGGCGCGGAGACTGGGCGACGCGATAACCTCTGACATCACAGAAACATTCATAAGCACATGTCACCGTGCGTCACCAAGAAAATCCCTTTGCACCAGTTGTTCTGCAGCCGATCTGACCAGGCCACAGCTCATGCGGTTCGCGATTCGCGATGGCATGGTCTGATGCGATGTCCTTGCGACATCTTGCGAACTGCGATTTTCTACGACCGTTGCGTGTGATGACCGAGGACTCTACTCAACCCTCGAGGCCCGTTGATTTGCGGTACTCGTCGCCAAAGTAGAGAACTGTAGTAGTTGAACGAACCACACTAGACTTTGTGCAATAAAAGTCTTCTCTCCTTCATAGTTCAATGCTGAGCAAACCACAAATGACAAATGGACTGTACTTGGGCTAGTGCTAAATAGGACACGAAAAACGCCAAATTAAGCAACAATACGATACAATACATAAACAAGAATACGTAGCAGCTGGTGTCGAGGACCTGCAATCCTCCTCCAAATTCCGTCCACAGAGAGTATTCTGTAGCCTTGTTACCAGCAAATAGGCTCGAAAATGGGCCAGTTTGCTGGAAACAATGCGAAGAGGCGGAGGATGGAAGGTCCACGCACAGCCTGCCTGCACCAAACAAAGACAAACCTAAAAGCAAGAATGGAAAGCAAAAAACATCCAAGCAGCAGATGGTGTGCTTGGGCACAACTGGCACACCCTTTCCTCTGTTCTTCGTGAGCGCAAGCAGACATCTTGCTTGCAACTCCACCAGACGTGCACTGCCACGTAGCGCTCGCTGCCACATTTGCATGTATGTCATGTGCGTGGCAATGCGCAAGTCAGTCCACGCACGGTTGTTCCCCGGCGAGACGGCAGAGTGGCCGATGAAGGTGACCAGGTGCGCCATCAGCTTGTCCTTGCGGCTGCATGGGAGGAGTTTTAAGGGTAACCACAGGGAAAGGCGAGGGAAAGAAAGGAAGACAGGATCACTCAACGGAAGGGGAGTAATGTAAGTGAAGCCAGAGGACACAACCGAGGCCAGTTGGAGCAAACAGAGGCCAACAATCCATAACATGAAGGTGCGGGTTAACACGCATCTGCCCAGTGAGGAGGCTTCAAAGCGCTCACCTGAAACGCGACCCGCAGGAGCAGGTCCAGCTGGTGAGGCCGCAGTGCTTCTCATGCTGTGCGCAGATCCGCCAGCACCGCAAAGCGCTTGGCGCCGCCACAGCGCGAGCACGCGAGCAGCTTGGGGCAGTGCGAGCGGGCGGGTAAGTGGTTGCGCACACACAGCACCGTCTTGAGCGGCTGGAAGGCCGCATGCTCCCGGTGCCGCTTGCACCCCGCTACCGGGCAGCTGAAGCGGCACTGTGCTGGATCCACTGGGTCGACGAAGGGAAGGAGGAGAGTGGGGGAGGAGACGCTGCTGGGTGCATTGGGGTTCATGCGGCCGTGTGCCCTTGATGTGCATGCGCAGGTTGGCCTCGCGCTTTAAAGCCCTTGCCGCAGGCGTCATCAGAAGTGCATCTGGTCGTTGGAGAGTTCTGCACCCGCAGCTCAACTATCATCCACTCCCCCACGCGCACGCCTTCCGCTCCCCACCAGCCCCGCCGCCGCTGCTTGCTGCCGCTGCCTCCTCGTCGCTGTCGCTGGCTGTGGCAGTGGCGGTGTAGCTCACAGTGGCAGTGGCTGTGACAATTGCTGTATCTGCTGAAGCCTGATGCTGCTGCCTTTGAGCCTTCATAGCAGTCTTTCATGGACTCTCCGCCTGATGCGCTCCTGGCGCTGCCTCTGGTGCTGTGCCAGATGCTGGTTCAATCGCTGTGGCTGGTGCTGCTGCTTGGCCTTCCTCCAGCTTAGCTTGCTTCAGCGGTCGCTCTCCCATTGCTGCCTCCATTTCACCATCATGTTCCCTTCCCCTCTTGCTCCTTTCCGCATTGCCCTGCTCTCCCGCCTTTTCTCCTCCCTCCTCTCCCACCTCAGCGTCGTCTTCCCCTGTGCTGGCGCCAGCTCCGGATGCTGCGGCGGAAACGGGGGAAGCGAGGGGAGGGGGAGGGTGGGGAAGGAGAGGGGCCGCAGTAGGCCCCGCAAGAGGGTCAGCAGGCGCAGGCGCGGCTGAAGGGGGAGCGGCGACGGGTGAAAACAGGGGGAGCGACATCGCGACAGCAGGCGGCGGAGGCGAGGGAGCAGTGGGCAGCGCTGGTTGCTGCTGCTCGTGCTGCTGCTGCTGCGGCTCTTGCTGCTGCTGTTGCTGCTGCTGCTCCTGGAGCTGCAGCGCTTGCGCCAGAGCCATCATCATCGCCTCTTGCATGTGCGGCTGCTGGACCCCTTCCGCCTCCGCTTGCCCCTGCGCCTCCGCCTCGTCCCGCTTCTCCGCGGACTGATCAGCATTCCCCATCTCCGCGTACTGCTGCGCCGATTGCTCCTGCTTCGCGCGAATCTGCTCCGCGCGCACCACCCCCGCGATGTCGGGCAGCAGAAGCTGCGCCTGCAAGCGCGGCGGAAGCAGCCCCACGGCGGCGAGCGCCACCTGCTGAATCACCGCCGCGACGCCCACCGCCGCCGCCTCCTGCTGCTCGCGCACGGCGGGGCGGGGCTGCTCTGCGCCACCAGCGGAATCAGCAGCTGCAGCGCGGCGATCTTGCCCTGGAGCGACCCCAGAGCTGACATCAGCGATGCAGGGGACACGTTGGTGGCTGACGTGGCAGTGGGAGTGAACCATGCTGCTGGCACGTGGCCGCCACATTCCGTGGTTTGATTGCCCGTGCCGTGCGAGGCAGCAGCGCTAGGCGGCGGGCCCGTGAAGGAAGCGGATGGCGGAAGAGTCAGAAGGGGGATAGCGGCCCCAAAAGATACCCCAGCGGCGTAAGCGCTGGTTGCTGCGGATGGGGTTACTCCCCCGAGGCTTCGGCGGCTAGCGCAGCCGCCGCCGGCGGATGTGGCGGCGGAGGGGGAAGTAGTGAGGCAGGAGCCGTCGTTGCCTTGGCCGACTTGCCACTGTGTTTTTTCCTGAAGATATTCCTGAACATTCTCCCGAGGCTGCAGGTTCAGATGCAGCGGATCCCATCCGTTCGTTAAGCGTGTGGCAACGGAGGCGCCATTGTTGGGGGAGACTTCGGCGGAAGCGGATATGTTCTTGCGCGCAATGGCTTGGATCAGCGGAGTTGGCGGAGCCTCCGCAGCGCCTTCCACGACCATTCTCTCCTCCCCCATAGCGCCCCAATTATCACCCTTGTTCTCCAACCTCCACTGCTCCTCGCTGCACTTTCCGTCCGCCCATTCTCCCATGAACCGGCTGCCCCATTCGTTATTTTCCGCGGACCCAGCCGCTTCGCACGGAAGCGGCGCTTGGTGAAAGCTGAATCCGTCGACGAGAGGGATTTGCGGCAGGGAGACGGTCGCCCACACGGCGGCTGTGCCCGCGGCGCCGTCATTCTCGAGGTCCATTCGTCCGCGCCTTCTCGGACGCGGAAGGGCGTTCGGAGGAGCGAATCGGGATGCTGCGGAGCGCACTGACTCAACACGGTACCCAGCACACCGTGTATAGGAATCCGTTTATTAGAGGCTTCACGCCGTGGCTTAAGAGGCCCTTATGGACCCTATCAGCCTGAGAACGGTCATTCTGCCCACGGGATCAACTTCTTCGTTCTTGTTGATGATTGACGGAATGGCGTTTCTAGGCTGATAGGGTCTCTGCTGGGTTGATTCACGGCTCACAAAATGGCGGACTGGGAAGCGACAGAGAGTGGAAAGATGGCGGCCTCTACGCCTAGGCGAAACAGCGACTGAACTCACGATGTACTGCAGCATCGTCAAGGGCTTGGTCGAGGCAGTCCAAAAGCTGCTGCTCTGTGTTGCCCGTCAGCAAGTACACTACACGGCGAGAAAGAATTGTGTGGAAGATGGGCTGGTTGCATCAATGCCATCGTGGGGGAATTTTCCGTGTAGTTGGTGGGTGGGTGGGTATGGCGGTGGAAGGGAAGCAGGAGAGACGTACGTCGGGGGGAAGAAGGGCGCGTGTGGGGAAAGAAGGCCGCGAGTGAGGCACTGAATTGAAGGGCGGATGGCCTATTATCGAATCATAACAGATCGTAGGGCTCTCCTTCCTTACCTGTTGTTGTATCTTGCTGTGCCAGTTCGTCACACAAAACAGCTGGATGCTCAACCTCGGCACTAGACAATCCATCCCCGCCTCTGGCCGCACACACGCGCACTTGTTCCGCGAATCCCAGGGTAGTTGGGGCTTCGTCGAATCAAATTGAAGACCAGAGTCGCATGGACCCTGTCACCCTGGTTTCCTTTGCTGGGGGAGGAGGCCGAGGCGCAGGGCTGAGCTGACGTGGTTCATTTCGAGGGGCTGATGACGCGACAAGGGAAAACCGAAATCGTGTGCTACACGACATGATTCTGTGGGGAGTGTCGGTGCTCTTGAGAGGCAGACATTGGGCGGATGCCGTGTGAATTTCTCGAAGAACACGACAAGAAGCACAGCTGGTGGTATTAAACCCGTTTTTGTTTGACCTTGTTTAGAGCCATACACCTCAAACATTCTGATCTGTATCCAGTTCTCCTAATATGTGGATTGATGATCATTTTAGTGGAACTGGTACATGATTACCACAATTCCTTAGCGAAGATCATGAGAATTTCGGGAACTCCGATAAAGGTCTCTAGCTAACTCCATTTCCCACACCCAGCTCGATAAGAAATGTCCGAAGTGACAATTCCTTAGTGACTGTGGCTATTGCCTCTTGTGCAATCTATCTCCGATGTTGCCTTGACTACGTCACAGTCCCGATAGCAACTTCGACAGCACTGATACTTCTATCTGCATATTTTTCCTCGCATTCGTGACTGCGAATTCCACATCCTGCGTTTCGTGTCCGTGTTTTGTATCGGGCGCGAGAGTTAGGGAGGTCAGGGGGGGCGCGACGCAGAGAGCAGCGCGCCGAGCTGTGATGGGGAACGAGCACTCGCTGCTGACGCAGTATGACATCGAGGACGTTCAACAGCACGTGGGCGGCCGATGTGAGTATAACGAGTGTGTAATTACGATGAGGGATTTGAGCATGGAAGCACAAGGGAGGACGTGCGCAGCGAGTAAATCCACTCCACGTGCGGAATAAGATCCCGCCCCTCTCGCCCACCGCACGTGATAATTATCTCCCTCTCGCAATTCCGCCTGCTTTCCGCGTTCCGTCCCTTCTGCCCTCTCCCCTTCCCTTTCCACTACCTCCCACCCCTCTCGCCCACTCTGCACCATTCACCCCCAATTCCCCTTCTCCCCCTCCTCTTTCCCCATTGCTCCCCCCGTGTTCCTCCGTTTCCCCCCGCTCCCCCCAGTCTCACGGGATGAGATAGCGGCGCTGTACTGACTTCCCTCTCACCACTGCCACCCCTTCCTCTCTCACGTGGGTTCCCCCTTCCAACCCCCCCCCCTCCCCCCCGCTCCCCAATCCCTCATCCCCGTTCCCCCCCAGTCTCGCAGGAGGAGATAGCGGCGCTGTACCGGGAGTTCTGTCATCCCTCTCACCGCCTCCCCTTACACTCCCCCACCCCCACTCTCCCTCCCCCCCCCCCTCCTCGCGCCCCCCAGTCTCGCAGGAGGAGATAGCGGCGCTGTACCGGCGGTTCTGTGCTTTGGACCGCAACGGCAAGGGGTACGTGAGCGGGGACGAGTTCCTCTCCATCCCCGAATTCGCCATCAACCCCCTCGCGCATGTGAGTCAAACGCCGATCAACCCCAGTCAAGTGTGTTGCGCGCTGAACCTTCACTACTTGCCCCCTTCCCCCTCGTTTCTCCCCCGTTTGTTCCATCCTCCCCCTCCCCCCTCTCCCCGCCGTTTCCGTCCCCTTCTCGCCCCTCGTTTCAAACCCGGGTGCTGGGCGAATGGGAGGGAGTGACCTTCAAGGACTCAGTGAGTTGGCTCCTGCTTTGATGCGGAACTCTCACCCCCACCCCTGCTTCCACCCCCCTCGCCTTCCCATTCCCCCAATACCCCAGCGGCTGTTGGGCATTCTAGAGCGCGTGAGCTTCAAGGACTTGGCAGGCGTTTGGATCAACTCAGAAGTTATCTCACCCTCCTCCCTCCGCACCCTTTCCCCCTGCTCCTTCACTTGCCCAGCGGCTACTGGGCATGCTAGAGGGAGTGAACTTCAAAGACTTTGTCAAGTGGCTCGCTGCCTTCAGCTCCCGCGCCACTGCTGAGGACCGCACCCGCTGTGAGGCTGGTGATGGGGTGGGATGGGATGGGATGGGATGGGATGGGATGGGATGGGATGGGATGGGATGGGATGGGATGGGATGGGATGGGATGGGGTGGGATGGGATGGGATGGGATGGGGTGAATTCAATGGGGTGTGCTATGGGGGAATACTGTTGATTCCACCTGTGCCATGGCATGCCGTCATGTCTCCATTCCCCACCGCTCCTCCCCCCAGTGGTGTTCGCCATGTTCGCCCAGGTGTACAACATGGATGGCACTGTCACTGTGCCGCCTCACCCACCACACCGCCACTTGCCCCTTCGCCCCTTTTCCCCCCTCTCCCTCCCCCCCACCCCCCTCCCCAGTGACGTTCGCCGTGTACGACGTGGATGGCGACGGCAAGATATCCAAGGGGGACGTCCTCATCCACACGGCAACACTTCCCCTTCTCGCACCTTCCTTCCCCTTCCCCCTCTCCCCCCCCCCAGTGGTGTTTGCCGTGTACGACGTGGATGGCGACGGCAAGATATCCTAGGGGGACGTCCTCATCCACACGGCAACACTTCCCCTTCTCGCACCTTCCCTTCCCCCTCTCCCCTCCCCCCAGTGGTGTTTGCCGTGTACGACGTGGATGGCGACGGCAAGATATCCTAGGGGGACGTCCTCATCCACACGGCAACACTTCCCCTCTCGCACCTTCCCTTCCCCTCTCCCCTCCCCCCAGTGGTGTTTGCCGTGTACGACGTGGATGGCGACGGCAAGATATCCAAGGGCGATGTGCTCGCCATGCTGCGGGACCTGTCCGGGAGCTTTCTCTCAGAGGAGCAACGACAGGTGGGTTGTGGGAGAAGTGGGTTGTGGGAGAGGTGGTTGTGGGAGAGGTGGGTTGTGGGAGAGGTGGGTTGTGGGAGAGGTGGGTTGTGGGAGAGGCGGGTTTGTGAGAGGCGGGTTGTGGGAGAGGCGGGTTGTGGGAGAGGCGGGTTGTGGGAGAGGTGGGTTGTGGGAGAGGTGGGTTGTGGGAGAGGTGGGTTGTGGGAGAGGCGGGTTGTGGGAGAGGCGGGTTGTGGGAGAGGCGGGTTGTGGGAGAGGCGGGTTGTGGGAGAGGTGGGTTGTGGGAGAGGCGGGTTGTGGGAGAGGTGGGTTGTGGGAGAGGTGGGTTGTGGGAGAGGTGGGTTGTGGGAGAGGTGGGTTGTGGTAGAGGCGGGGCAGGCGGGGCTTCGAGTGGGAGAGGCGGGGCTTCGAGTGGGAGAGGCGGGGCTTCGAGTGGGATATCTAAAGGGGACCTCCTCGCCATGATTAGGGACCTGTCAGTGTTCCTTTCTGACTAGCACAAGAGGTGTAGGCGTTGTGGTATGGGATAGTGGGGCTTAGAATCGCAGATGGTGCACCGCAACACACACACACTCACCACACATGTCACGCACCACATGTCACGCACCACACAAAAACACATTAAAACACAGTACCGAGAAATGTGCCGCTTCTGCTCACCCTTTATTACCCATCACCTGCCATCAACCCCCCAATCACCACCCATCACCGCATATGACCGCACAGGAGGTGGTGGTGCAGGGCGATGCAGCAGGCGGGGTTCAGCAGCGACTCACTGCTCTCCTTCACTGACGTCTACAAGGTCACCTGCCATGCCCTGTACCCCGCCATACCATACCATGCCATGCCATACCAAACCGTGCCATGTACCACCAAGCCCTGTGCCATGCCATGCCATGCCATACCACCGTGCCATGTACCATAATGTCTGCCTGGCTGCCTGGCTGCATGCCTGGTCTTGGCCACGCAACTGCCAGTCTCTCTTATGTCCCGTGACCAACCCACTCATCTTCTTCCATTCTCTCTCTCCTCCCCATTCTTCTGTTACCATCCTGGTGTCCATGTGCACTGGTTGTGTGCCTTGCAGGTCATAGGGAAGCAACTGCGGTTGCAACTTGACATTCCTGTGGACGAATAGGTACACAGTCTGTTAAACACCGACGAAAAAAAAAAAGCTTAATCTTATTGTAAGACGGGGTACAGGCTCGGTGCTACGGTGCAATATTCTAGAAATAAGGTGCTGAGGCTCATGTTTGTCCTCAATTAATCCATCCATCCATACCGGTACAATACTATAGAATCATGCTACATGTAGGCATACTATTGAGAGCAACCTTCCACATCTGCATGAAACTTGTACAAGCCGTCAGGGCGCGACTCTATGCATACCGCTGAGTGTGTGTTGATACATGTAGCATACGTGCTAACGACTATGGAAGTGTAGATGCGCCTTCGGACATGGCTCCCTGAGCAAGGCGATAATAAAGCAGCAGCATTGTTGCCATGCATGAACTGCACATGCAAGGAGTGCAACATGTGATCAACACCGGGGAAGGTGTGTGAGGGTTGCATGTGCAGCCAAACGCACCATGAATGCAGGTGGAGGAAGCAGGAGGCGGAGAGGTGGAAGGAGGGAGGAAAGAGGAGGAAGGATGTAAGCAGTGGTGCGTGTAAAGACAATGTGTGGGCAGTGGGCACCCAACATGGCACAGAGAACCGCGCACCCCTCGTCACACCACAGCCACAGCAGCAAGGCATGGCATGGCATGGCATGGCATTGAAGGGCATGGCACGGCATGGCATGGCATGGCACACATGGCACAGCACAGCATGGCATGGCAGGGCATGCGAGATGCTTACAGAATGCCCAAAAAGGAGCAGCAGCTTCCGCGGGTCCACACCCCCACCTGCGCCTCTGCCCCAAGATGATACTTGAGTCGACTCACAAATCGCCATGGCAGGGCAAGTCATGGGATGGCATGCAAGCTGCTTACACAATGGCCACAATGAGCAGCAGCTTCCGCGGGTCCACACCGCCGCTGCGCCGCTGCCCCGCTCTCCGCCTGCCGTCCTCGTGCGCCCCCACGGGTGCATGCTCGTCCTTGTCCCTGCGGTGCGAGTGCGTGGCTGTGAGCGTCACTGGCAGCGCATGCAGTGCTGGTGACCACCACGACCCCAGCACCCGCAGGAACTGCAGATGCGCCGGACCTGAGGAGGTGAGAAAGGGGGAGGGGGGAGGGGGGAGGGGGGAGGGGGGGAGGGAGGACAGGGGTGACGCCCCACAGGGGTGAGAGGAGAGGCGCCCAACTCATCTCCCCACCCTTCTTTCACCTCGTCTGGCGCACTTGCTCTCGCCCACCTCGTCAAGAGCAGGTACGAACGCCACCCTTGCATGCATGCACACACTCCTCTTCCCCACCTCACCCCCCTCCCCCTCCCCGTTTCTGTCACCTCGTCTGGTGTGCTTGTATTTACCAGTGCAGTGAGTCATCCCTCTCATGCATGCACACAAACTCTCTCTCTCTCTCCTCCCGTCCCTCCTCTCCCCTCCCTCTGCCTTCGCACCTCGTCTGGCGTATTTGCGTTCGCCCGCCTCCTCATCGGTGCGGTAAGCCGTCTCGATCTCCTCTGTGATGTCCACCGCCGTGCGATCCGACCCGCCCGTTCGACTGCGCGCAATGTTCACCCCGCCCTGCTGCTGTGGCTGGGGGTTGCGTGGCACAACAGGAAGGTGTTGGGAGAGGAGTGAGCACCGATCACCTTCACTTAAGGAGGAGACACTAGCTGAAGGGGACAGGGTGAGGCGAGTGGTGGTGGCACTGGTGCACCCATGCAAACCGCATCCAACCACTGGCACACGCACAGGGAATCCCACATACTGGGGGTGATGGCGGTGATGTGATGTGATGGGGGTGATGTGATGTGATGGGGGTGATGTTATGTGATGGGGGTGATGTTATGTGATGGGGTTGATGGGGGTGATGTGATGTGATGGGGGTGATGGGGGTGCTGGGGGTGATGGGGGTGATGTGATGTGATGGGGGTGATGGGGTTGATCCACTCACTTGGCGTTTGGCCCCAGCTGAAGCCGCAGCCGCCGCCGCCGCCGCCGCTGCAGCCGCCACAGCCGCTGCTGCTACTCCTGACGACCCCGCCCCACTGCCCTCCCCCTCCCCGCCGTTCCTCTCCTCCACTGCCCCGCCCGCCTCCCCCCGACCCTCCCCCTCCGCCCCTGCACTCGCGGAGTCTGCCGCCCGCCCCACCACTGCAAGAGGGCCGGAGGCGAATGCGGGCGGCACGGTTTTGTCTGATAGTGCTGTGGCTTGGGCGGATGCGGCTGCTGGGTCGGACGTGACTGGCGTGCTCAGGATGACGTCTGCAACAGATGTCTGCGCGGGATGGTGTGGGAGGGGGTGTTGAGGGATATGTCTGGTTGGATGGGGATAATTGGGATATGGCTGGTTGAAATGTAGACGGGAAACCCAGCAGCAGTTCTAACAGATCCACCTGAGCGAGGACCCACCTGAGCCAGGACCCACCCGACGCAGGAGCTGTTCCAACAGACCCACCTGAGCCAGGAGCTATTCCACCAGACCCACCTGAGCCAGGAGCTATTCCACCAGACCCACCTGAGCCAGGAGCTATTCCACCAGACCCACCTGAGCCAGGAGCTATTCCACCACACCCACCTGAGCCAGGAGCTATTCCAACAGACCCACCTGAGCCAGGAGCGCTCTGAGGTGCGTGTAGAGAGCAGAGGCAGAGTCCTTGTGCGACCTGGCTGGCCATATCTGCATGTACGGGGACACACACGCACACACCAGTGCGAGAGAAAAAAATAAAAAACAATTCAAGCTTAGGCAGGCATCGTAGTAATCCTACCAATAGAGCCGATCGCCTCTGCTGATCACCAAGCACATGTCGCTGTGGCTCAATCAAGCCTCATGGCTCAGCAAGGGATGCGACACACCTCAAGGCCACAGCCTGGGGAGGCGCATGTGAAGCCTGCTGGGGCGGTGTTGGGCGGAAAGGACTCCACGTGCCTCTTCACACACTCCGCATGCGGCACGTCTGCACCCACCACATGACACGGAGATTGTCAGGCGAGCAGCAGGTGACATGGCGAATGTCATACTTGACAGCGGTGCAGGCAAGGAGCAACGGCAGGCGGGTCGGCAACTAGAGGAGAACATAAAAGGTCGGACGGGAAGGTGAGGCAGGTAGGGTGGGGGTAGAGCGCGCGTACGGAGGCAGGAGAGGCGGATGGTGGGCTTGTCGGTATCCTCGAGGGACTCGCTGCACACGGCGCAGTGCGGCGGCCAGTCGTAGTCGCCGTCGTTCACCCAGTCCGAGTACTGCCATACCTGGGCTCCAACCGTCGCGGGGACGGGACGGAGGAGAGGGAGGGGAGGAGGGAGGGAGGGAGGGAAACATGGATACGAGATCCGTATGCTTTGTTGCTTCGAGAAACGTTCTACATTCAACAAAAGGACGGTGGTATGCTATAGTTTTCCACTCCAATCGTCATGGCCACGAGGATCCAGGAACCTCTTCCCCGATGGTCCAAGCGAACGGCTGCAGATGACACACAAGAGAGCAACGGACCTCCGGAAGCACGACAACAAGCGACAGGTGTCGACAGGACGTACCACGCAGTGCTGGTGATCGGGAGCGCATATGCAGTCGAAGCACACCGGCGTCTTGTGCACGAAGCAGTATAGTTTGGTGGCCTGCGACGGAAATTAAATAATTTCGGAGCGGATTTCGGGGTATGGGACTCTTTGAAGCAGCGAAACAGTCAACGACACGGGTGAAGGACTTCTGTGATGATCTGATTACGCACAACAAGATTGAAAAATTTGATTGAGCAGTCGCATGCGGCACACCTTACGACATTTGCAGACCACCATCGGGACAGATTCAGCTATACGAGTTCAGTACACACGATATGCCCTTCAAGCCAGGTGGTCGATCACAGGAATTCGTGAAATGTAACTATTTTCTGCAGTTCCCGACATCT